CCTCGCCATTATTCTTCTCTCCCTTCTCCTCCTCCTTCTTCTTCTTCTTCTTCTCTTTCTAAAGTGCACACTTTCAGTTAAATCTATATGGATTCACACTGCCACCACCTAGAACATGTTTCTTACTTGGGGTCCAAATAGAGGATAGTTAGTTGAATCCATGTGGTCTCTCATTTCCTGGTTTTGAGATTGTAGGTCACCCACATCATTACGTTTGGCTTTGATACTAATTTTTATGGTCCTTATTTAGGGTCTAGTTATGGGATAGACTGATAGTATGAGCTTGTTAAGAGAGAATTCCACAATCTCCTTGAGTTTAAAGCACCAAGAGGAAAGAGCTTCATAACAAATTTTTCCACATATCTTATTCAGATTACTATCATGTTTTTATATCGAAAAACATAGCTTCACCTAAGAATAATAACTTAGCTGGAAGTAAGTAACCCACTTCCTAGAAACTACTTTTGCACTTACCCTCCCATCCTAGAAACTATCTTTACACTTATCCCGATAACTAGTATAGCATTAAATAAAACAAGATATTAAATAAAATAATTACAATTTTGTTCTAGCAGCCATGTGTAACTCACTCTAGCAGCCTTGTGTCAATCATTTCCAAAAGCCATGTGGCTCATAACATAAACCATTGCTAGCTTATTACCAAAAACATCTATTCCAGTCTTAACTTTTTATCCAAGAGAAAAATCTTATATAAATGTTCAATTATATTGTTATTTTGAAAAATTAGCACTAACTAATCGATGAATGAATGAATAAGATGAATTATCTGGTAAATAGCTAGGAGTTGGTTGTATGAAAGAACTGAGCAGCTTCATGAATATGATAATGGTAGGAAAGCTTGTCTTAAATTGAAGGCATATTTGGTTCTTAGTTTGTTTTCGGCCGCAGATGGTTTAAATGGATTATTGCTTGAAATTAAATAGTCTGTTTGCATTTCAACGTGAGTACTTATGGCAGAAATTTCAGTAACTTGGGATATTATTACTTAGAAATGCAAATGAGCAGCATTCTTTCATGGTATTCTTTTCCGTATGCATTTTTATTAATATATGCATTTCTGATATGTTAGAATGGATTTACTTTTTGGACATCAAGTTTACAAATTGTTCATTCATCAGCATTGCATTTTCTCATAGGATTCCTTTTAATTTATTGGGACTGTGGTGCAGAGGCATTTTCTTGACGCGGATAATCATTTATGCTTCTCTCATTTGATTTTGCTGGACTTCATTCTCCAAGCTCTACTGCAAAAGCTGGACAGGCAAGCACGTAGAACTGCTCCAAGAGCTCCTGAGAATGCTAGAGGTTGAGTTTCTTCCCTGACAGAGTATTCTCATTTAAGTAATATCATCTCAAAGGATAACCAAGATAAACTTGAAACCTATGTCCAAACCAATTTCCATGTTCTGCATGGGAGGTGACATGTAAAAAGAAAAAAAAAAATTATAAAGATTATTTTTTTAACTATTTTTTGGGTGATTTGAAAAGAGAAAAATAAGAGGGCTTTTGAAGAAATAGAGAGAGAGATATCAAGAATTAGAGATGAATGATTATATTATTTTGGCTCATAGATATTGGAGCATGACATTTATAAGTTAGAAGATTTTGGGAATACCATATATATACTAACATATTCGTAAATATATTGTGAATGAGTGGTTTTCCCTTGGTGTCTTTGATATATTTGTATAGGTTTTATTTCAAAAAAAAAAAAAATGTACATGTTCTACCTTTAGTATATGCTAGTAGTGAAATAATCTGCATGTAACAACTAATTTTCAATACACTGCAGGGTTATAATAATACCTTTAGCTGCTGACATGCAGTGGATTTAGCAGTTGGTTTCGAGAGGAGTATCAGACAAGAAATGAAGATGAACCAGAACTGCAGTCCAGCAGTCCAAGAGCAGAAGGCTCTCCTTAGAAAAATTAAAGAATGAAGCCCCCCACTGTCATTGTTTTGCTGCATTTGACATGTAGTTATAATCCAATAACAATGAAGGAGAGAGACCTGCTTGGAGAATATAAGTTATTTATATTTAATTAATATCAATAAAAATAAATATTTTAATTTTTTATAATATTATTTGAATATATTTTAAATCTTTATGGTATTTCTTTTGGTACAATGTGAATATCATTTTTTACATTTTTTTTATTTTAAAAAATATATATTTTTTTAAATTTTTAATAAAATTTACATCAATGTGTTTCACTGGTAAGCTTATAATAGAAGATAACATATATATATATATATACATAATTCAAATATAAATACAAATTTATTATCTTTTTATGCAATTTTTTTAAAATAAAAAGTATAGTATACATTAACAAGAGTATTTTCATTTATAAAGGATTTGCAATCGTGTTAGATGACGTTTTTAAAATTTACATCACTGATAATGTTATGGTATAATAAAATAGACCCAAAATAATGAATTCATCTATCTTGTATATCAAAGCTATTACTCTCTATGCTATCAAAAGTTCGACTATTTCTCTCCTTCCAAATGATTCAGAAAACGATCAAATGAATCAAGTTAGTAATCTTATTTTTTATATATAACCCGTTGCAAGTTCAAATTTCTCCCTCTACGAACCCTGTCTTAATTAATCCCCAATAGATTATGGATCATGCACCATAATTTATATGCCATCGGGCACCATAATAAAAAGGTGATTACATGTTTCCTCAACATTTAGACAGCAATAACAACCATTAACCAACACCCTTCCTCTAATTCTCAGCTTGTCAATAGTTAAAAATCATCTCTCAGCATGCCTCGTAAGCGAAAAAAGCAATGCGAGACGGAGTTTTAGTTTTCTAAATTTGTTTTGCTAGAAAAATTATGTGTTGTCACATGTTCTTTCTGCATTAAAAAATGATAATATGATTTAACATAAAAAATGTCATTGTTTCACACTTTCATACAGCGTGATCATTACAATTAGAAACACTATATTCTATCAGCAGATTTATCAATTCCTCAAAATTTTAAACTTTCTGATCATTTAAGTTTCCGCTGACGTTGATAAATCATACAATGTTGTGTTAAATTTTCGGTATGCTTCCTCAACAACCATCTATTTTGACTTTGTAATACTGAAAATTCTTTTTATAAATGTTTATGTCAATTTCTTTTTAGTTTTGATTTATAACCGTAATTATTTGACAGAGTATTTTCTCTCATGAGACGTGAAATATACTTCATGGTAAGAAAATATGAATATGTATAGTTCTAAATAAATTAATTATCTTAAATGAATAAATATTGATACATATTATACTTACGTACGAATTTGGAGATTATAAATATTGTTACATGAATAAATATTGATAAATTAATTTTTCTAAAATAGAATATTGAGAAATTTATTTTAAAAACGAATGTTTATTTTTTGAGATAAATTTTTTTAAATGGGCAATTGAAATTAATTTTAAGTACATAGTAAGTAAAAAATAAATAAAATAAAGAGTTATATTATATTTATTATTTACTATTTTTTATTTTTTACTCTTTAGATATTCAAATATTAAATAAAAAGTTACAATAATAAGTAAATAAAAAATTTAATTAAAAATACTACAAAGTATTTTAATAAAGATTCTATTAGAATTATATCTAAATGATTAATTTACTAAATTAAAAGTAATGTATTTCAGTTATATTAATTAATTAATTATTATAAATAAAAGTAAAATTCTTTAATGGACTAATTAAAGTACTACACAAAACTAATTATTTCAGTTATATTAATTAACTAAATATCAAATTAAAATTAGACAAATTTAAACATAATTAAAATTTTAATTACGAAAATTAACAATTAAAATAATTATTTAATTGAAAATATGCAATAAAAATAAATTAGCTAAAAAAATTATTAAAATAAAAATTTTAAATTAATATTATTTTATTATATTCAAATTATAACTCGTATATAAGAAGAGAGAAAATCTTTTTCGTTAAAACCAGGGAAAAAAAAAAACCAGTTGCAGCGTTGCCGGCGAGTCGCCGACAAGAACCCTACCGGACGCCAACTCGTTCACGCGCAGCGGCGCTAAGGTCATGCAATTTCCGATCAACTTTTTGTTGTCTTTGCGTTTCCTAATATCTTCTTCGTCCTTACAATAACCACTTCTCTTTCAGAGAGAGAGAGATGGCGGCACTCGGGCAGCTTAACATAGAGGAGTCGCCGCCGACAT